AGTCTTGCTCACAGATTGTGACTGGTCTTACATAGCAAATGCAGATGCACAAAATAGCTATACACATTTCCACGCTAACTACCTACACTGCTATAATTCAGCTTTTCCTGAAATCATAACAAAAGAGGCAAAAATGAATTGTAAAAAATGGGAAACAGAAACATTAAAAAAAATGAAAAACCAGTTAGATGCCTTGAACACAATAATAACCGTAACTCAAGACCTCAGACTAAACGATACGTATAATAATTTGAAAAAAAGTAAGGAGAATAGATGTGGCAAAGAAGGAAATGGTAGCTTTATTCAAAGTTCTGAGAATAAGGTCACAGCTGCTTGGAAGCTTGTAAAGAAAGAATGCGGAAAAGGTGAAAATAAATCGCAAAAGCCCTCTAACTTAGACATAAACGTTTTGAATGACTCATTCGTAAACTGTAAGCAATTAGACTCTAGCAACAATTCGAATAATACAAATTCACTTCTACTATCGAAACAGAAACAAACAAATACATCGCTTAATCAGATTACGGACTTAGAGGAAGAGGAAATAGTGAAAGACCTGAAAAAAACGAGTACATTGGTCATATACGGATTATCAACAAAACTCTTAAAAGAAGTAATAACTTGTGTTTCTAAACAACTAACAGATATTTTCAATAAATGTATCAAAAAGGGAATTTTCTCAGAACAGCTAAAATACGTGAAAATTATACCAATACAGAAACCTGGAGATCCCAATCACCTGAATAATTACCAATCTCTGTCCTACCTACAATGTCCAAAATTTTGGAAATTATCATAAAGAAGAGCTTACTTAATTATCTGACTTACGACAACTTATTAAAAAATCCACAAACACGGCACTGCTTAATGTATTAAAAGTGATCATAAGAGGTTTTGATGAACAAAAATATACTCAAATCGCCTTTTGTAACCTTAGCAAGGCTTTTGATCTTGTAAAACATGATATTTTTACTAAGAAATTGAATAAATACGGAATAAGAGATAAGGCCTTTAACTTAAACTGTCTACAGAAGTCAAGTACTTGGGCTTAATAATAGACAGTAAGCTGACGTGGAAATCCCACCTAGACAATAGAGTTAATAAAGCTTGTGTCGCCTTCGGCCAGTGCCGGAGGTCTGTCGGGAGGACTTGGGGTCTGTCTCCCAAGATAGCCCTGTGGATCTATACCGCCGTTGTTCGACCAATGCTAACTTACGGTGCGGTGGTATGGTGGACTAGAACTTCTAAGTCTACCGCCACCACTGCGCTTAATAGAATACAGAGACTCGCGTGTCTGTATGTTACAGGTGCGCTGCGATCAACCCCCACAGCGGCCATGGAAATCATGTTAAATTTACCACCACTCAACCTACATATCCAGGAAGTGGCGTTGGTAACCATGAAACGACTACAATCAGTAGGAACTATGAAGGATGAGGACGTTGGCAGCAGTTCAACACTCTGGAGGGAAGCAGTGCTAGACACACCCCTACTCGAGTGTAAGACTGATCACAGACCAGCAAAATATGTTTTCTCAAGGAAGTACCTCACCCACGTCAGTCCCACAGTTGTAGATGTACATAGAACCTTAAAGATCTACACTGATGGTTCAAAAGGACGAAATGGTGCAAGCGCGGGGGTATTCTCTCACGATCCCCTGATTCGCCTCTGAGAACCTTTAGGGTCCAGCACCACCGTCATACAAGCGGAACTAACTGCTATTAAACTTGCTGCTGACTGCATTGTTGAATCCAACAAGCGGGGTAAGTATTCACTATTTTTACAGACAGTAAACAATCTCTTTTAGCTTTAAGCAGAGTTATTATAACGTCTGCAGTAGTTATGGATTGTCACAAAGCACTGGAGGAGGCCGCGAAATACAATTCTGTCAGAATCCAGTGGATTAAAGGGCATTCCGGCTCCAAGGGTAACAACCACGCGGACCGGCTAGCCAAACGTGCTGCCGGTAGAGCGCCCTGTGCACCCGAGCCGATAATTACCCCCACCTTAGCCACTCATATCGAGTTAATAAAGCACATTACCCACAAAAATTTTTTAAACGGGTGGGACCGTACCCCGGGCTGTCATCTCGCTAAGGAATTGTTAAAATATCCTTCAGCCGCAACAGCCCAGTTTTTCGTAGGGCTCGGTAAAAGTGCCCTTCGCACTGCCACAGGTCTCCTCACGGGACACTGTAAAGTAAATAAGCACCTTCAAAACATGAAGCTTGCTGACTTTCCTCTCTGTCGAGCCTGTGAACAGGATGACGAGACGGTTAAACACATCTTGTGTAATTGCCCCTCTCTGACCGACCTCAGAATGAGGACCTTCGGGAAGGAATGGCCAACCACAGATGACATCAGGAATGCACCTCTAGGAGCTGTCCTAGCCTTTGGTAAATCCTTAGACTGGTTGATGTGACCAGAGCGTGTAATGGGAGGATGCACAAGGGGCCCAATGGGGCCTAAGTGTGGCGTGCGGTTTTGCATGCACTCCCCAATCCATACATACATACATACAAGGCCTTTAACCTGCTAGTTTCATATCTGGATCAGCGACAACAACAAATTCACTGGAAAGGTGAAACATCGGACTGGAAGACAGTCGAAACAGGAGTTCCGCAAGGTTCGGTTCTTGGACCGATTCTTTTTTTGATCTACATAAATGATCTGCTGGATTTTGTAGCATCGGATTCACTCTGTTTTTATGCGGACGATACTTCCTTCATAAACGTGGAAAAGGATATTGAAAAAGTTTAGAACAAAACTAGTACGACAATGGTTGGGGTAGAAAAAGCAAGTTACTCACGTTTTTATACGAAAACCAATGATCACGTTACAAATCAAAAGATTCAAAATTGGAATCGAACATCAATTTTCGTGTCACAGGTACCATAAATATGTCAGATGAGGAAATATCTCGCAACTATGTATATTTAAAATATTATAAATCGTTGGATAAGTCTTTCAAAAACAGTTTTATTAGTTCCAATTTTGTATGCCGAAATGTGGTAGAATATTTTTCGGGTCCACAAGGTTCTTGCAGAGAATGTTTTCCTCTCCAGGCATTAAACATTTTTTACCTGACTAACTTTTCCTGGACCATTGTTGATTTCTTGCCACTCTCCCGTTTACATACAAAACATGGACATTTCGTACAGCTTCTTTTAAATTAACACATATCTGCCAAATTTCTCATCTCGTCGCCTATATACTGAAGCAGCCAAGTAATTCAGTTATCTCCTTTGTTAAGCTCAAATACCAACCGAATCACTTAGCTCAGCTTGAGTAAACAAGTTAAATTTTAAATTTGTTAGCTATAAAATACCATCAATTTCATCCTCTAATACAGACATATCACTATTTGCACGAGTCGGCGTATTCAGGATAACTATAATCAGATCAAGACCATAAGGTTTTATTTCTTTGTAATTTTTTGAATTGAAGCAATTGGTAATGTGCTCGTTTGGTCTTTTCCAGATCATTGGAATAGCAAATCCTAACAGTTCTTTCCCCTTTTTTTGACACATACTTTATGAGGCGTCTAAGCTTTATCCTGATCATAAAGTACAATTCCAACGTATCTCTGTAACGTTCTGTTGATGTTTTCTAATCAGAAACTTGCTTCAAATGTAATAAAAACTGGCAGTAATGTTTTTACAACTACGACTCAACATCGTTTGAGGTTGTTTATGGTTTATTTATAACTGACTTACGGATGGCTGAATCGGTGTTTGTGCAGGTATTTTTGGATATATTTTGAATGTACTGCGGTTTAAATTATGTTTCTGGGATGAGAAATATATTTAGGAATACTCTTATTTCTGTTTTCTTATTTATGACGCTTATAGAGTCCCAGTAAGCTGCTTTTAGGTACTTTTTATTATTCATTGTGATGAGTGTTTAATATTTTTCTTAGTTATCGTCTCTGCGTTACAAATCTCGCAATCTCTCCTTATCATATACATATGGCTTACATATGGTTCTGGTCATAAATCCAGATAGTTTCTTGCAGTTTGGAATTGGACAGAATAATTTGTAATATTTTGTTAAAGTTTCACCAGTGTCATTCAATACTTTTTCATAAAATCTGGACTTATGCCCACGCAATTTCAAGCTTCTCCTTGGAGTATATAATCTTATCAATATAATTATAGATGTTTTAGCCAAGTTCTAAACTTTTCTTATACATTGCACCTGATCATTGTAATCCGAACTTGTCTTTGCAAATTAGTAGCCAATCACGGTACTTCGACATATTTTCTTGCTTTTTTGGTTTAGAATCGGTTAGAATATCCTTGTTTTTCGAGGTTGTTTTTCACCTCAACAAAGTTATTTACATAAAGTTTTTCTAGTATCAAGAGTTCCCTCCAACATTTTTGTTTTTCAATCATTGATACCAAAACAAATCGATATGTAGCTCAACGTTGCATTTATTAACTTCGCTCCAAAAAAATCACTCTGTATGCATTCGTTCGAAATATCAATAAAACAGGTTCCCTCGGCTGTTATATCTTCTATTGCAGACTTGCGAATTCACTTGAAAACTTTAGTAGTTTGCAACTTCGCCTTAACTTTTCATAGTCACCCATTTACAAACTCTAAATTTATATTCTGCACCACGCAAACGAATCCACGCAATTATATTATCCGAATGGTTTTAATCCACGTAGATTTCAACGCGACGCTAACTTAATTATACAAACAAAACTGCCCTCTCTCGCGGCTTTACCGCGAGGATTTAAAATCCGCAATAACTTAAGCTCGGCGATATATAATTTCTAGTTGAAGGGAAAAAATGATAAATCCTACTTTAAGGAAAACTCTCGGAATTATCCTTACAGATCATCGTAATCCTTGAGTCGTGGTTTCTGTGAGATGAGTGTAGGAAGTACCGAGGATGCCCCACGATCCGGGAGGGCATTATAATGGCCGATTGTGCGCGAACATGTCCGAAAGCTCGGGCCAACGTAAAAGCTCGCTCTATTCGGATCCGACCCCAGTTCCATCCGGGAAAAGCTGGCGTCCTGATCGAACGGGTTCAACTGTGTCTGAGGGTGTCACCGTTCGAAATCACGCGACATCATCTGCACGCGGATGAGCTTACAGTGAGCTTTCAAAAACGAAAAAAAAATCATTCGTATCTCAACGATATTCAACATCGTTGACGAATCTTATTTCATCTTAAAGGTAAGAATTTAATTTATTTAAGCAAAAATTTTTGAATTTGATGTTTTAAAAATTTAAATAAATTTAAATCATTGATATATTAATAATAAATAATTTTATGATTTATTTTTAATTGTTATCCTTTAAAATGAAACGACTAAATTAGTATTATAAGAAATTAAAGCTTACAAGAATTCCACCATAAAGTTTTGTAAGAGCTTTAAAGCTGTGTCAATAGTCACTCGGAATTTATTGACTTTTAATTAAAGTAATTGGCACTTTAGTTAATCGATGTAACTCGAAAGTTATTTCGTCATAAACTTTACAAAGTACGAACAAGTTCTGTACATTAAGGATTCTTTGATTTCATATATATTTTCTTAGATTATGTTTTCTTTGTTGTTACACACATCTTTTATAAAATGTGACATAAAAAGTATATTACAAAAGCAACAACAAAAGGTAAACTTTACGTCCGATCTACATTTTTTATTGAGCCAAAATAAAAAAAGTCATTACAGTTTCTTCGTCTTTCGCTTTATCATCGCTACATCCAAAGAATTATTTCCAGGCGGACGAATGGGAAATGTCAAAAGGGCACTTACCAGGTGCCCATTTCTTTTCAACCTGCGAGGTCGCATCGCATAAATACGATTACTTCCAATCCGCGAAGTTCGAACGGACTGAAGCCTTTAAAAATTTTCCCCCTTTTTCCGCTTTCCTGAAAGAAAGAATGAAAGGAAAATAACTTGGAAAATACATTGGGAGTATTAAGAGATTTTTCACGGAATTTAAAAATCTGGTAATCTAGTTATTTAAATTACGTTTGAAATCGAAAAGATTTTATAAAGGAAATCATGGAATTGTGTTTTTAGTGAGTATGAGTAAATTTCTTCATTAAATGCTTAACGTTCTTAAACAACTATTTATTTTTTTTTTTTCGAGAAATTGATACTATTTCTAAAGGTAATAAAGTTCTAGCTATTAAATCTTAAAATAATGCATAATAGAATCATTTGATTTCTTAAAATACTCACCAGCGTTCATCGATCAAGCTTATAACACCATTTGTCTGTCAAGTTCTCCACGACAATCATTTTTCCTTAACTGTTGAGAGAAATAAGATCAACTTGTGTACGCTTTTCAGTTCTACCTCAACATTTTGATATTTGGGGGTCTACTTCCTGCCTTAGATCTGGTATTTCCGAGTACGAGCGCATCTATAGCACGATATCTACCTATCTATTATCCTATTTGTGTCTTCTCCTTCAAGGAACAAAATTTTTGTGGTCCTTTTTCGCCCTTAGGCATCTTCTTATCTGAAATTGTTCGCCAGCGCAAGCTTTTAACTCTCAACTTTTCCTTTTTGGTGGTTTTATAAAAGTTTACAACAAAAATTCGATTGCTTTTCAAAAATGTTACTTCTATAAAGCATAGTATTTACAATTAGACTTTTTTTTTGTAGAACTATTTTGTATCAATATCATGTATGTTTTTAACGTTGTCATAAAATTTCATCATAAATTACAATCTTTCAGCTTCAATTTCAGATATAAATCGTCGCTTGAAACCCTGAAATGATATCAAGATGATATATTGAAATTTATTGTTTTTTGACATTTTTTGTAAAACTATTTTGTTATCATGTACGTTTTTTAACGTTATCACAAAATTTCATTTTTTTCTATAATTTGAAACATAAATCGTTGGTTTACGACTTGAAATAAATTAGATATGATTTTTTTAATTCATTAGCATTTTTACGAAAGGGAAAGTAAGTTTCTTGTTAAGAATTTTTTTGCGGGAAATTTTTATAATAAAAGTCGGTTGTTTTTATTAATTATCATAAAATACAGTCATTTAGCTTCAATTTAAAATATAAATTGTCGTGTGAAACCCCGAATTAAAGTCAACATCCTTTTTGTAAGTATCGTGATTTTTTAACATAATTTTTTATGTTTCGCACCTCACACTGCGGTTCAAATGACCTCTGAACATTTTCCAAATAAATTTTCATTTTTACTAATTCATGTAAATTCAATTAGTACCCCCACCCACCTACACCTGTAGTGATTTACTCTAGATGCGGTTGGTATTGTTTCCAAACGTACTGAATGTAGTTGTCGGATACACATGACCCCATGGTGAGATCTATTTAAGTGTATTTGGAAATACATTAGACCCCCCTAAAGCATGGTAGATAAATTTCGTATTATATGAATCCGTGTTGTAAATGTTATAATTTAAGTGACTCATACATTTACTTGGACTACAATGCTATACAATTTTGGACTACACTGTGTTAATTAATTATCGTACCCGACGTCATTATTGTAAGTATGCAACCAATATCACAGTATTGGTGTTACAATACGCGATTTGCGTATTTAGTTGCATACTTGCAATGATGACGTCGGGTACACTGTATTTCACACTGTATTTTGATGACAACTGATATTTTTATGCATGGTGATCTTGTGATACCGATGCCGAACTTTTCCAGTAACAGGAAAATAATGATGTTAGTAATGAATTATTTGACGGAGATGATACTGATGGAGATTCCGATGTTTTCGAAATATAGGTAGAACCAAATAGTGAAGAAAGCGCAGATAAGGTAATGCAAGACGAAGAAGACGCAGAACCATCTAAGAAAACCAAAATACGTCAACAGTACGTTTTTACAATTGGACTTCCACAATTTTTCTTCATAGAAATGATGAAATTTCTCCGCGAAGGACTTCTTTTAATATCCAATCCTATTATACAGGTTTAGTAGAAAGGAATCATCGGGTTTGACGAAGCTATTTTTCAGTTAGTATTACAGATAGAATAGTAAATGACATGTCTATAGATAGAGAAAATACTTAAGTATCATATTACAAATGTTCTACGTGCAATCTATGTCGGCAACGATAGTCAAGTTTAGCCCATATATCTCTCGGTCGATACTGTTAACAGCATCAGTAATGCGTCTTCTAAGTTCACCCAGTGTTGTAGGTAGTGGTGTAAATAAAAATCGCACGGTGTAAGATCAGGTGAATTGGGAGGCCACGCAAATAATTCCAAATCTCCATCTTGTTGGTATATAAAGTTGTTGGAATCATCCGTCATACCGTACGACGTACCGTTCACAGATTTTTCATGAAAGAAAAACAGTCCATACACTTTTGTGCTAGATACGGCACAGAAAACATTCAATATTTCCTTTCATGTTGGGTAATGTTATGACGATTTTTCGTTCCCCATATTTGAATGTTGTGGCTCGTCACTGAACACCAGGTAGTTGGCAAATTCGTCATCCTCCTCGTTGCTTCCTGCATGTTAGTACAAAATTTTCCACACAGTTTTCAGCGGAATACCAAGTTCACGAGTAACGTTACTGATGAACTTTTGTGGCGAACATACGAAACATTGTTTAACCCCATCCACTATTTCATCAGATACTCGTGGTCTTCCGGTGCTTTTACGTTTCTCAACTACACCTGTGGTCTTGAATTGTCGATACCATCGTATAATGCTTTGATGACCTGGAGGATTTGGTATTCCTTTCGGAATGCACGTTACACTGTAACAATTGGTAAACGCTTTCTATTGCATTTTGACTGCGGACGTGACTTGGGCGTGTGCATGACAAACATAGATGTTGTCACTGTCTAAAGACATGTCATTTACTATTCTATCTGTCATACTTTCCGAATTATGGCCTTGTCAAACTCAAATAACCCTGTAGTTATTTGAATTTCATAGAGTTGAAAGTTTTGATTGGACTTGATATGAGACTATGAGGGCAGTTCAAATGCGCTATGTCGCAGATTCGGATTTTTTAACCTGATGTTTGAAGTTTGAACACAAAGAAACAAGTATAGATAGAAGGGAGAGGGACAGCTTTGCTCCCATTCGTGAAAATGGAGAGAACTTTACCGCAAGTTAGAGAAAATACTACACTCCGTTTGAATATTGCACCATTGAGGAAATCATGATGAAAATCATGATGTTGAACGACGCCAAGACTTAATATATGTTAAAAGCTATTCTATAATTATTGGGCAAACTCACTACCGACTACTAAAGAACTTGCTCGTAGAAATAGTCGCTTTCACTCGGACAATGAAACTGTAACTGAGAGCACCCTCCATTAAAAGCAGGGCTATTATTCTCAAAACAGAAATCAAATACCTAGAAGCAATACTGGACAGTAAATTAAATTGGAGCTCCTACATAGTTAAGTGTTGAAAAAGGCCATCCTGGGCAACCAGATCTACCGCAGGCTCCTTGAAAGGAAAACCCTTGGGTCTTAAACCACGATTGGCCCACTGGACCTATGTGACAATAATTGGATCGCCTATGCCTCACTGGTTTGATGGCCAAAAACAAATCATAAGACAGCACAACAACAGCTGGCACAAATTTAGCGGTTAGCATGTCTTAATATAATAAATGCGCATATATACAAAATGAGGCAGCTTTAATTGCCTTATCACTGAAAACATGCTCTTCACTCAAGTTGATGCAGAGTAACTTCAGCGGACACCTCGAAATCCTCAGCGACCCAGGTCTAAACCACTTAATTGAAATTAAAACGGATTATATTCCGACAGGATATAATTTCGACCAGCCATATAAGGTCATATTTAAAATCAGCGATGATTGGTCGAAGAGTCAGCCTCAACTCAAAAGAGGAGCCCTTGCCTGGTACACCAAGACTTCAAAAATTCTGCAAAGATAGTTGGATCAGGAGTAGGTATGGGCATTTGTGGATAATCATTTTTCAAGCTGAAGTTCTTGCTATAAACTTCTGCTCCGTTTTGAATCTGGAAAAGGGACAGAAAGGTGCATCGATGAACATTTTCACGGGCAGTCAGGCCGCCCTAAAGGCAATTCAGACCTACATGTGTGAACTCGCCAGGAGCAATGAAGTTATTCTATGGTGGGTTCCAGGTTAGAAAGACATTGAGGACAATGAAAAGGCAAAGTATAATAACTCCGTCGCAAAATAAAACCAAAGAGCGTGTATGCCTCAGCAAACTACTTAACTCTTATTTTGCTGCTCTAATATTATACTTCTATACCTTAGGCACCACGAAAAAAAAGTCAGGTATGTGTTCTGTTCCAGAGACATAAAGTCAAAAAATTCATGGCATGTTTGTCATAAACCGATGTGTGACAAGAAGAGAGTGTGGATGTTAGAGGAACTCCTTTTTTTGTACCGTTTTTTCATATTGCCAGACAAAAATCACCCCAAAACAATCAATTTTGTATTTCGATGCTTGATAATTCATTGAATACATAGATCAAACAAATTTATCCACATATTAACGACTTTTAATAACACTGTGCTGCAAACTTTAACTTTTATTTGTGTACAGTAGATCCTAGTTTTGATTAATCAACACGAAATAGTCAGTTCTAGAAAGTTCTATTGCCTCGCCCGCAAGCAACCTCGGCAGAGTGAGGTTAAATGTTTTCTTATAGAAAACTTTGTATCTTTACAAAGATGTATAAAGAACGATTTCGCGTCAAATCGCCGAAGTCGCCTGCGGGTGAGGCGCTAGTTTTGATTAATCAACACGAAATAATCAGTTCTAGAAAGTTCTGCTGCCTCGCCCGCAAGCGACCTCGGCAGAGTGAGGTTGAATGTTTTCTTATAGAAGACTTTGTAGCTTTACAAAGATGTATAAAGAACGATTTCGCTTCAAATCGCTGAGGTCGCTTGCGGGCGAGGCGCTAGTGTTGATTAATCAACACGAAATAGTCAGTTGTACAAAGATCTACTGTCCCACTCGCAAGCGACCTCGGCATAGTGTAGGTGAATGTTTTCTTATACAAGACTTTATAGCTTTACAAATATGTATAAAGAACGATTTCGCATCAAATCGCCGAGGTCGCCTGCGGGCGAGACGCTAGTTTTGATGAATCAACACGAAATGGTCAGTTCTAGAAAGTTCTACTGCCTCGCCCGCAAGCGACCTCGGCAGAGTGAGGTAAATGTTTTCTTACTGAAAACTTTGTATCTTTACAAAGATGTATAAAAAACGATTTCGCATCAAATCGCCGAGGTCGCTTGCGGGCGAGGCGCTAGTTTTGATTAATCAACACTAAATAGTCAGTTCTAGAAAGTTCTACTGCCTCATCCGCAAGCGATCTCGGCAGAGTGAGGTTAAATGTTTTTTATAGAAGACTTTGTATCTTTACAAAGATGTATAAAGAACGATTTCGCTTCAAATCGCCGAGGTCGCTTGCGGGTGAGGCGCTAATGTTGATTAATCAACACGAAATAATCAGTTGTAGAAAGATCTACCGTGTCACTCGCAAGCGACCTCGGCAGAGTGAGGTTGAATGTTTTCTTATAAAAGACTTTGTAGCTTTACAAAGATGTATAAAGAACGATTTCGTTTCAAATCGCCGAGGTCGCTTGCGGGCGAGGCGCTACTTTTGATTAATCAACACGAAATAGTCAGTTCTAGAAAGTTCTATTGCCTCGCCCGCAAGCAATCTCGGCAGAATGAAGTTAAATGTTTTTTATAGAAGACTTTAAATCTTTACAAAGATGTATAAAGAATGATTTCGGTTCAATTCGCCGAGGTCGCTTGCGGGCGAGGCGCTAGTGTTGATTAATCAACACGAAATAGTCAGTTCTAGAAAGTCTATTGCCTCGCCCGCAATTAACCTCGGCAGAGTGAGGTTGAATGTTTTCTAATAGAAAACTTTGTTTCTTTACAAAGATGTATAAAAAACGATTTCGCTTCAAATCGCCGAGATCGCTTGCGGGCGAGGTGCTAGTGTTGATTAATCAACACGAAATAGTTAGTTCCAGTAAGATCTACTGTCCCACCCGGTAGCGACATCGGCAGAGTGAGGTTACCTTTCATTTTTTTGTAACACGTCACGTATTTTTTTATTGAGGCTTCGCACTGCTGCGAGAGTTAGGATTTTATAGGGAAACTATAGATGCAATGAACTTGATATTTGGTACCTTGATATAAGGTAAAGAAATCTATCTTTTAGTGATCTTCGGAAACCACCGGAAATTGTTATTAACATCATTTTGAAGAAAATTTTAAAATTTTATTTTATTTTATTTTTCAAATAAAACTTATTTAGAATTGCATTATGTAACCAACTGCTAAATAAAATTTTGAAATTTTCTTAAAAATAGTGAAGTTAGTAACAATTTCCGGTGTAACCCTTATATATCTATTTATTTTAACATTTGTTTACATAGGCAACTTTGTTTGCACGATTTTTATATAAAAGAGCTTGTTCCACCTATAAGACCTCTCTCTTGCAACGTCCACCGACATGCAAATTCATCTTAATTTAAGGTATTTATATATTTTCCATATTTTTTGGTAATCAATTCAATAAAATTCACTTCATCAAAATTAATTTTTTGATACTTATTATCATTTATTTTCAATAAAAGAACCACCACCTTATTTAAAGATCCCCGGTGAATTTCCGCGAGAATAGTACAAAAATCTTGCAGCACAGTGTAATTAGAGGGACCTCGGTGTAACTAAAACATATGTGAGTTACGAAGGTTAATAAATCATTTTGATCTACAATTAATTTACACATATAATTATATAATTTTGAACGAAATTGCTTTAGAAATTTCCGAGAATTTCAGATATGCTTGTTATGAATTAAACTGAATTTGTGATGAGATATTGTACATATGTCGTCGTATCCAAATCACCCCATCTGTTTGGCCATATTCAGCGTCCCGGTTACTAATTAACGTATTGTACTATTAATTGCAGCCGGTAATTATATTAGGCTGACGGGGGGTTGTTTCAGACAGGTACCCTGATAGAAACAGGGCGATCTAATACTCGAATGTAAATTTAACCCGGTCTCCGTGAAAGCACACGTACACCATTTAATAATCTTTCGATAATTGAGTTGATGATTTAAATGTATTGGGATATATATTTGGGTGGAGGAGCCGGGGTAATATCTAAATTTATATTCTCAACATTCAATTTATATTTTTTTTTAGATTTTCATCGTTAAAGTATCAAATACTGAGAAGTAATGGGGGGTAGTTTGCTAATTGTACTTAGCAACTCGAGACGCGATCCAACCGCACCGCGGATTCTGAGGCAATTAACAAGATAAATTCAAAGTTAATTACTTCGGTCTGCATTCGTACCTTCCGTGCCATTTACCAACTGGATGGAAATTAATTAGCGTTTCAGTTCAAACCGGAATTAAATTTGATTGATGTTGGAGGAATGGCAACCGGTTTGTGGGGGAGGACAATGTCCTCCTTCTTATTCAAGAGTAGATGGAAATTTTGACGCTCATTTCTTAGATTGCTAATTAACATTTTCATTACATAATTACTTTCGAGGTAAAAAAAAGGAAATTTTATGGTAATTTAAAATTTTAATTAATCGTTGAGTTTAAAAGAAAATTTTAGTGAAGTAATCATCCAATTAGGTGGTTCGGTTCCCGCTTCAGCAATTCCGTTGATTAATCGGAATTTCGCACCAAGGAAGGTAGACAATGATCACGAAACCACAGACAGTAATGAAGCGATGAATAACTGTGGGACGTGGCAATAAACTCAACAGTCCTGTTCGAGTTCAAGTGACTCTGCACCGTCCAGAAACGTCAATACTCTCGAAAACACGTCAATTTGTGTTGAGGATCACCATCATCAATTCGAATTTCAAGTGCCTCTTAACCGCTTTATTTCCCTTAATAAAAATTATAACAAAATCAGTTTATTTTCTTAAATTTAAATAGATTCTCCGTATCCAAATTGTCCAGGGTAAAATCAAAGCCGGAGAGCTAATCTCGATTACATTCAAACGCCGGTCGTAACCGAATCCCTTTTCTGTTGGCCTGCCACATTGGAGCTGAGGGATTTTGACGGAACCCCTTTCCGTTCTGAATTTCAGATTGGATTTCCGCATCTTCGACCGAAACCCTTCCCGGTTCAATTGGGAATTATACCCGAAGTTCGCTACGACCACAGTTCGATAATAAGCACTTCTGAACCATTGTCGGACCCCCAAAACTTCCACACCAACCGTGATACTCAAAGTCATTCAAACGCAACAGTTTATCAAATTTCAAAGTTTATTAGCAAGCGAGATTAACATAAAATTAAGAATAAGCTTAAACGGATAGTTTTCTGATGTCTTCCCCTGTTGGTCTTATCATAATTTCGGATATCTAAAAATTGATTTAATTAATCATGATATTTTCCTTGATTTTAATGACATACATTAACACGTTGAGGTGTTGATAAAACATAAAGGATGGAATCCGCAATATCTTCGCTCAAAATGTAGGGAATATTCGAATGCATCTCTTTACCCATTTCTTCGCCGTAAGTTGCAGCCATAATATCGGTTTTTACGACACCAGGGCTTAAAGACTGTTTCTAATTAATTAAAAAATTAATAATTAAAACTAAAGCACTTACAGTTATTCTAATATTGCTATTCATCCTAGCTAATTCAACTCGAACATTTTCCGTCATAACTCTCAACGCAATTTTAGAAGATCGATACATAACATTATTAGGCATCAAAAGGTCATAATAACCAATCGTGCTGTTAATATTAATAATATAACCGTTAATGTTATTGGCTGTCATTATTTTTACAGCTTCTTTTGTGGTGATTGCGTAACTCATAAAATTGGTGTCCATGAGTTGTTGCCAAGTATCTAAATCCCCCGTTAAAACTGTTGAGTTACCTAATACCCCAGCGTTGTTAATTAAAACATGCACGGGACCAACATTTTTGGTAACCCAAGCGAAACCGGCGAGGATTTCTTGCGGTTTTGTTACATCCACGCTAACAGCAAATAATTTTCCATCGTGGTTTTCAACTAAGTTTTCGATTTTTTCCTTCCTCCTTGCAAAACCAACGACCTAAAAAATTTAAAAAAATAGTTTTTGAGTTTTTATTAAGTTAATCTCACCTTCATTCCTTGTTTTAATAAAGCTTTGACTGTAGCGGCTCCAATACCGGCGCTAGCACCTGTTACAATCGCTACTTTATTGTTAAGATCCATCATAAAAATATTTTTTTATTAAAAATTCGAAGTTCTTGATGTCTTGAAACAAAGAAATGGACTGTTCGAAATCTCGTTTTGGGAGGAGTATTTATATGGTAGGCTTTGGTGCGAGAGGAGCAAGGGAAATAATTAACGGTGAGTTGATGACCTTGATGATTTTGGGTATATCTTGCTTTGTTGTACAAATATATTTAAGCATCTTTAATAAATAAGGATGGAAAGCAATGATAATTTTTGTTATGAAAGATGATGCAACAACAATATTAATTGACATTATTAGATTAGATAAGTCTTCTAATCGGTTTAAAAAGTTTGCCATAACATTAAATTTATTTAAAATAAGTTTAATGACATTCCAAAAATGTTGAATCATAATCTATCAATTTACCAAGGAAAAATTAATCGTATTTTGTGCAAAATTTTTTATTTTAAGGAATTTTTTGGGACTAAATTCTGAGACTCTTCAACCGCTTCTTGGTTTCACGAATTCCGGTTTAATCACTTTGCCCTTGATACTATTTTTGGAAGAACTTGTTTTTTGAACGGCAGAAACATCTCGATCGGTTCCCACAATATTCTGCGCTCCCACTTCTTCAACCATCACTTAAAATGCGCCCAAATTTACACAACATTGTATTAAAATATTTCAATTATTACAAAAATCTTTAGATAGAGTAATATCCCGAAGTTACGTAATAGGTAAGACCGGGTAGGATTACATAAGTCGAAACTTATGTAAATCGAGTATCTGGATAGGTTGAAGCAAAATTTATGTACAATAAAAGGTAAACTGGAAACATATTCTAAATCAAATTTATTTATGCATTCTAATAACAGTATGAAACAAACCAGAAAAAAAATTAATATTTTATTTAAGTTTTGTAGACTAATTTATTTAGATTTAGTCATTTAAATTAGACGGTTTTATAAAACTGGTGATGGTAAATTCTTTTTCTTCTCACGTAGGATTTCTTGATAGCGGACAATTAATTATTCTATTTTTCTCTTTACTGGCAAAATGCGTTCTTCATTATCTGTTTCTTCTAAAACTTTTATACCATTTTTTGTGCAATTTTTTGTGCCCTTCTCTTAATTTTGCGATGGTTATTTCCGGTTGTGCGGGTTCAACATCACTTTCTTCACCGTCATTTTGTTCTTGCATTTCAATCAGATCTTGCGCAGTAAGCTCCTCATCATGCGACTCCAAGAGCACAATGACATCTTCATTATCAACTACCAAATCGACTTGTTTTCCTAAAGTAACAATATTTAGTACTGCTTCGGTTATATCGTTTTCTGACGCTGTTTCTGGTGAGTCAGCGAAAAAGTCCGGGCAAAGTGTTTTACAAACCCCCTTCAGTGTATTTGAGGAAACTTCGGCTCACGATTAATAAAAAATCTAATAGCATCAAGAATATTAAACTTAATCCATAATTCCTTAACGGATAAATTGTCATCGTGATTCATACATAGATTCATTTAAACGTCGAAATGATCGTCGAGTATAATAAGCTTTAAATGTTATTATAACAGTCTTCAAATAAAGAAGTAGTGCCAGAACTTTTCGGTTTGACTTCCAAATTACTGGCAATCTTGATTTGGATTTATTTTTTAGGTTTTCAGATCGATACACCAATAATGGTTTCAATTTACAATCGCCAGCAGCGTTTCCACCTAGGATAAGCGTTAATCGATCTTTTGCTGCTTTAAATCCTGGAAACACCTTTTCATCACGTGCAATAAAAGTTCTTCGAGGCATTTTCTTCTAGAAAAGGCCCGTTTCGTCTACATTGAATATAATCTGTGAACTATAGCCGCCTTCTTATATTATATTCTTTAATTATCTTTAATCTTTCATCCTTCTTATAATTTGAAAGCTATTTTCCGCGCCATTTCTATGGTTATTAATTCTCTTTCTTGGTCGTCTGAAAATATAGCCTTTCTTCCAGTTTTTGGTTGCTTTATAACTTTTTTCTTGAGATGGTCATGTATGGTCCTTTAGACAGACAGAATAAGTGTTTTGTTCTTGATATCTTGAATGGCTTTTTCTAAGTTTTCTAATTTGTATTTGATCTCCGTCTTTCTTTGGTAATTTCGTGGCATCTGAAACATATTTCAGTAAGTCGAGTGCTGGACCTAAATTATAAAATAATAGATAGTATTTTGATTGTTTTTTTTGAATCATCCGGGGATTCAAAAAAATTCATACGGGGATTGTGTCCCCGTAAGGTATAATTGACGATAAATTGTTGAATTCAAATTCCATCTTTTACAATTAAAGTCTGGATGTCATAAAACGAAATATAACCAAGTTTTACGTCAAATGTCCTCAAAGTACCAAAGTTAACGCAAGAAGTTTGTTAACCGTTGGAGGTAAAGTGGTCTTTGTGAGCAATGTACAACAAAAGTTGATTAAGATAAAATGTTTGTTATGTTAAATAATAGCGATATGCCGAAAATTTGAAATTTTTTTTCTAATATTCCGTTTTACATCAAAAACAAATGACCTGAGTGAACTAACAATTATCATTTGATAGCTTAGCTTTAGCCTATTGTCAAGTATTAATTAATCATGTTTACATTACAACATAAAATATTTATAGTGCATTGGGGAACATTAGTTACAACGCAAAGACAATTTCAGGAAAAATTTGGATTTTCAGTAGATAAGAAAACAATTAAGAGAGTTGTTAAAAGATTTTCGGAATCGGGCAATGTGGAAAATAATAGGAAGGAAAAGAAGCTTTTAGATGAACATTATGCGGGGTCGATTGTTGCATTAACGAATCCAATGGATTACGGTAAGGTGTCGTTAAGAAAAAGGGCAGTTCAAGTTGGTATAAGTAAATCCCAATTACAAAGAATTTATCGAGAAAATAAAATATTGCCGTATAAACCAAAATTTCACCACACTATCGAATTAGGTGATGAAGTAAAGCGTTTAGATTATTGTTTGTGGCTTGGGTACAAAACTTTGAAAGACAGAACTTTTTAAAAAACATAATATTTTCGGACGAAGCATGGTTCGCCACTAATGGAGTGGTTACATCGCAAAATTGTCGATTCTGGTCAAAGATTAATCCAAATTATCGCATAGTTTGTAAACGCCAGTATTCCCAGAAAGTGAATGTGTGGTGTGCTGTTTCGTTGAACGGTGTTATTGGACCTTACTTCATAAACGGCAATTTGAATCAACACCGATATTTGGAAGTACTAGAAAATTGTTTATTTAATTATCTTGACGGCGCGGATTTAGAAGAACGCAATAAATTATATTTTCAACAAGATGGTTGCGGCCCACATTCGACTATTTTAATTAGAAATTTGTTAAATACGTTATTTGGAAAAAAATTGATTGGTAGATATGGTCCGCAACCGTAGCCGCCAAGAAGTCCGGATTTATCTATTATGGATTTTTATTTTTGGGGTTATGTAAAACAAAAAGTGTACACTAAAAATTTTAATAACAATTTAGACAGTTTAAAACAAAAAATTGAAACTGTTATTAGAGAAATTCCGTTGGACCATATTAGAAAAAGTTATAAACAATGTCGGAAAAGGGCTGAATTATGTGTTAGTGTCGGTGGTGGTATCATTGAATAAGCTTTTATGTTAATTTAGTTTAGATCGAAAATGTTTTGTTAATCTTATGATTTAAAAATCTGCATTTTGCTTTTATATCCTAAATTAATAAAATTTTGCATATCGCTATAATTTAACATAACAAACATTTTATCTTAATCAACTTTTGTTGTACATTGCTCAGAAAGACCACTTTACCTGCAATGGTTAACAAACTTCTTGCGTTAAGTTTGGTACTTTGAGGACATTTGACGTAAAACTTGGTTATATTTCGTTTTATGACATCCAGACTTTAATTGCAAAAGATGGAATTTGAATTCAAAAATTTATCGTCAATTATGCCTTACGGGGACACAATCCGGGGACACACTGTATAACATTCATATCACCATGCACCATTTAAAAATCTTATAAATATCTTAAAGTGACATAACAAGCTTTGTACAAAGCTATGTAGATAGCTCCCCAATATTGTTATTGTTCTGTATATATGTTGGTTAACAAAAATTGGAATGAAATTGACATAGCGAAAAAGGAATTAGTCAAAGAAAAGAAAGACTATGAAGAAAGTAAGACTTCTTATAATTTCTAGGTTTTATTTAAAATGTAAAAGAATTTCGAGATGATCATCAATATACATCTAAGCATTTTCTGAAGAATTGAGATATTATTAATTATTTTTAAGGTAGTATAAGAGTTTCTGGATTTTGTTGGTGACGGATCTGGATTTATAAGAAGTTTCCGTGCATTAAAAAGAAATTCTGGAGTATTTCCAAACTTTTAAAGAGGTTTACAACAGATTCGCATACATTTTCCACAGATTTTTTTGATTTATTTACCAAACTTTTTTTAATATCAATTATAAGTATAAAATACTAGTAATTAGCTGTGACAGTCGATCTAGTACCTCTTAGATATTCTGTGTATTCAAACTGATTCTCAATTATTTCCTTTATTCACTTTCTCAAAATAGTCATATCTAACGATTTCATATACCACAAAAAACTCTTATAGGCCACCGTCTTATTGATCGTACGATTATATAGGTATACATAATTTATGCTTGTTTATTTATTACTATAATCAATGATCATTTCAAGTATTTCTATTTCAGTATCTACATAATTTAAGCAATAAAGTTGTTGTATATTAGCAGTAAAATCTTACTTTTTTTTACTAATCTTCGGAAAATTACCTTGGGTATTGCCATAATAAACCAATTCTCATAACGGAAATAGTAAAATAACAGTATGAAATAACTTAAAATATTTTATTGCATTTTTATAATAAAACCCATAAATATTTATTACAATATCGGTCGTTACATTGTGTACTTTGCAAATGATCTTTTTCGGTGTGTGAGAGGGCGTATTTGATGCAAAAGGGCACAATTCTGGATCTGATGGAATCGTTTTTTATTGCCTGAGCTTTTAGCTGTTGGAAATGTAACGAAGCTAATTCATTCGTCGACGCCCTCGCGACATTTACTGTAAATTATTCTTCACTATTTCGACGGAAAATACGCGAATTGGGTTAAATTTTGGGACTTCTTTGTCATCATACTGACTGATAACATCCTGTCCGATGTTGAACGATTGGAATGTACAAACATATTAATTCAATTATTGATAGAGTCGCAAACATCAATGTTGTTTTCCGCATGAAGCGATAAATTGGAAAAATCATCGCTATCTCTTAACAGGATCAAGGAGTTCGAGAATTTACATGTAGATTGTAAACCTAACCCAACTTTTCATTCAACGAAATCCCTGACTATCAGAGTTCACAATATTGACTCATTACATCTCATCTTATCCAATGCACCTCGTGGAGGATCCCTCTAAAAGAATGTAGTCAATTTGGGTAATTTGGGTTTAGCAAATAAAATCAATCTGACATCGACAACAAATCTCGTAATGAAGAAATAAAGTTTAATATGCCGATTCTTTTAATACCAGATGAATGTGTAGTCCTAAAATGCAGATTTCCAGTAACTAGATGTTTATAAAAATTATTTCCACTTTTTTTACACATAATTTATTACGCTCGTTTAAAAAAAACTAATAGAGGTAAACTTTAGATGGTCTAGACGGAAGGAACACTAGTCTCGATGGAACTTTTGAAATGATTGCAAACAGTTTCGAATTTAAAAAGAAATATTCGCTCTCCAACTACCATCGTGTAATAGCAATCGGTATATGAGAGTTTTCGATAAAAATGTTCTTTAATGTTTTGGGTTCACGAATGCAGCAGTTACATTTCAATCAAGAAATTGGAGTAGTTGTTGAACGTTCAACCCTACTTTTTCGTTTGATTTCGTAAGTTGTTGGATTGAAGTTTACAATTCTAAAAATAATAAAATATAATGTAAGGCGTTATCTTGACTATAAATTGAAAAACTTGTGAGAATATTCAATATCTCAAATATGTACCAATTCAGATGATGGAGAATATCAGAGTAATCAAAGAAAGTAGTTGCAAAATAACAATTTCGATAACAAGCTTTGATCTATCTTGAGAAAGATAGTCTTTACATACTGTTGCATTGAAAAGTGAACAAGCATCAGCTGATTCAGACGCAGTACAACAATATCTAGAAAAAATCACTGATATTATTTCTGATAATTTCCATACTTCTGACCGGGTCTATTATGCTCATGAGAAGGGCTTATTTTGGAAAAACAATACCACAAAGAATCTATTTGACAAAACTCATAGATAAACAAGTGACGCATCAGACCACCATATAATGAAACCATTTAAAGGAATAAACATAAAGTAAAGGCAAAAACAAGCCTTTGCTGTTCTTATTTATTGGATGGCTATTAAAGGAAACTGGATTATTTGGAATCTGACTATATTTAAGTAAAAAGGGATTCTTTTTTAAAGCCATTGTCTTAATTGATAATGGACATGCTCATCCTCAGGGTTTGTACCATGAAAATGTGAACGTTGTATGTTGAGTGATTAATAAGAATAATAATAATAACAATAGACTTTGTTAGAATGGAATTTCACAAAATAACAATATAAATTTAACTGATTGGCAAGGGCGAAGTTAAAACAATCGTTTTTTCTTCCACTCAAACCTGCCATAAAAGTAAACAAAATATAATAAAGAAAAAAACAGAAAAATGGAAAAATACAAAACAAAACTAAACGAGGTACAAATAAAACTAATAATAATAGTACACCAATAAAAAATAAAACGAAAGAAACGATTTTTAAAGATATTAATACAGCTGCATAAAAAGCAAAACCAAATCATCGCATTCTAAACGACGGCAAGCTCAACATTTTTAATGATTGGGGTAAGCTATTATAAAATTTAGGTAAGTTGTAAGAGAATAATCTCTCAAATAATGTAGTAACATGTAGCGGTGGTGTGACGATACCCTTGCTTCCAACATTTAAGCTATGGACATCAGTGCAGAATGTAATCTTAACATACAAATAAGATGGACATTTAAGCAACAGTAACTTATGATAAAATGAAACCATATGGTATATGCGACGATTAAACATATTCAGCCACCGAAGATCGATCAGCCTGTGTGAGACATGGCACCCTCGTCGAAGTCCGAAAATCATTCCCACACATGAATTCTGAACACGCTGAACTGTTTGTGAAGGTTTTGAGTTCAGACAACTATGATATACTGTATCACAAAAGCTAAAATGGCTCAGCACTAAGGAATCGCAACGCATAATCTTTGTCCTGCGATTTCCCTTTCGACCCCGATTTTTTTTGTGAATGAGTAAAAAATTTAAAATTTAGCATAACAGTTACTTAATTTATTTTATGATTTTTGGTTTTTGTCTCATACTCACAAACTTTTTAATTTTTGACTTTTGATGTGTACACTACAGTGCACACTGGGATTTAATGGAGTAGGCGTATGTACACTATAGTGTACACTGGTATTAAAAGTCGTAAATTTTTCGGTGTAATAAAGAACTAAATATGTGTATTTCACCATTTATTAAAAAAAACAGCAAAAGAACAAGTAAAACGGAAATGAACAAAGTAATTTATTTTTTCGTATGAAAAGTGGCAAAACAATTTTGCTTTTTGCCAATACATAGGTGGATTTGACATTTTTCACATTTGATGTGTGTCCTGCTCTTACACGACATCATTTTGCACCTAGACGCAAAAATTTTGTCATCAAACACTGGAAGGTGGTGTAGACCATCTAAGCGTATGTCGGGGATAGGTAAAGATTCCGGGTTTTGTCGGCTCATAGATGATGATAAAAGTGGTGAATCTTTTAGAGGTCTTCCGCGTGCTTTCAAAGTTGGGGGTTTATTAGCTCCAATAAGCCCTTCTGCGATATATGCACGAAAATGTAAAAGATCCATAATATCTTTCTTACGTAGACCAAGCCTTTCAGCTTTGGCCCTATACACTAACCAAGAATTTACGCATGCTAAAGCAATAGAATGTGTAAACATCCGAAGTGTCCATTTACGTGATCGTATTTTAGTGCGATAAATACTGATTAAAAAATCCATTTTATCCACTCCACCCATGTTTATATTATAATTTTTTATGACTTCTGGGCGAGGAACTTCCACGTACTCTTTTCTCCGTTTATCCCACCTCTTGCAGGTTTCGGTATTACCCACAGTCATAAAGTTCGATGCCATTATTACACTCTTATTATCAAACCATTTGGTAAGCATTACCTCACCATCGTTACTCAAAACTTCTTCTGAAGTACCTCGTCCTTTTTGTTTCAATTCAGCGTCAGTAGAAAAAGGGGGCTTGTGAAAGCGGTCAATTCTTGCAGTTCCAGCAGCATGTATATATCTGTGCTTCAAATACTGCAGCAACTGATAGTTTGAAAAAAAATTATCAAAATATAGCTGCACGTTTACTTATTGTATTCGTTCAGACAGCTTGAGCACTGCGGAGGCTCCCACACCAAAGATTTCAACTTGATCAGAATTGAACTCTGTTGTAGTCCCCTGATAGATTATGAAGTCATACACAACACCACTTGCTCCACATAATGTGTAAATTTTTACCCCCCAAGAACTGGGCTTATTTTTCATGCATTGCTTTACATTTAACCTTCCTTTGAAAGGAACCATCTGTTCATCAATACTCAACTTGGTTTCCAGTGGCAATTGTAATATTCGTTTCCGAATTGTATTGTAGAGTGGTCGTATTTTCCAAAATCTATCTTTGCATTCAGGTGGTTTTTCTTCTACGTTCACAAAATGTAAGAATGACCTCAATTTGTGAAATCTATCACGAGGCATTGCATCGGCGATAGTTGGGATACGTAGTTTATTTTCCCAGTAACACTTAAGTCTTGGATAGGGCAAGTTCCCCATCAAAATATGCATGCCAACAAATACTTCTAATTCATTTTGAGTTGTTGCTGCAAATCGTGCGTGTTGCTGAACTGCAAAAAGGTTCGTATTGACTGTCATAAGTTCAAACAAATCTTTTGTAAAATACTGTCTAAAGAAATACAGAGGACTTTCTAGGTCAATATCTGCTGGAATAGGAGGTGTGTACCAATTTATTTCTGGTGTTATATACGTCACATTCTTACGCCAGCAAATTTTTGTGGGTGGAGTTAGTTCATTATTTTCATAATAAATATTTTTTTGCATTTTTTTACCAATTTTTCCTTTCTTTGCAACGGGTACTGTCTCGTTGTCTTCCAAAGTTTCAGAGTGTTCAGCCAAATCAGTTGGTTCGTGTGCATTCACCTCTAGCTCTTCGTTATCACTGATATCACCGCCTGCGTCTAAAAACATAAAATAATATTTAGAGGTCCACACAGTTTACAATTATTTGAAATTTACCTCTTTGTTCACATAAATCAATTTCACATTCATCTTCCTCACCGCTTAGACACTCTATATCTGAGAGTCCTTCTTCTATAAGTTTAACCAATTCTTCGTATTTTAAAGGTTTCCTGTTCATTTTTAATGAACTGTAAGAAATTATAAACAATATTCAATATAATAAACAAAATATAAGGTTATAACTTACAGCTTATAAATACTCCAATAACACCCGATGTGCACTGTGGTGTACAAGTGTTTACAACGCAGTTTTAAAAAAATAAACAAACTGATCGAGTCACTACTACATCAGACGTTATCTACATACTATTCACTTCAACACATAATTTTACCGATGATCCATAACACGGTTTCAGTAAAGAACTTAAGGTAGTAGCGATACCAACACGACAATTTTCAAATTCTCCGGTTGCCGCCAGTAAAAAATTTCTTACATTTTAGTATGAAAGTTCTATACCACCACGTTCGGTAGTTCGGTTCTATAGGGTACTTAGAAGTGCACGTTAGGAATTAATGGTTAAAATTGTATTCCAGTTTCTATTTACAAGCTTATAAATTGGCGTACACTGTAGTGTACTAGCTTCAAAGCAGCAAATGAAATTTTTGGTTTGTCCAAGATATGCTTTTCGAACCTAAGATTCGAGTCGAGCTGTAATCCTAAATTTCTAGCACAGTCCGTAACACCAATACATTTACCACCAATATTGATTTTAAAATTTTCTGCAAGAGAATCTCGTGCACCCCGCCTGCCAAAGAGCATAATTACTGATTTATTTGAATTTACCCGCAACGAGTGTTTAGTGGATACATCTATCAGATTATTTATGTCCTCACTCTTTTTAACTTAAGCAATGGCCTTGTCCGTAGGCAAGAACGATAGATAGATTTGGGAATCGTCCGCATAAAATGTGACTATGAATATTTGAAAACTGTCGAAAGATTAGAAGTGTTGATGCAAAACAGTAGAGGTCCCAAGATAGAACCCTGTGGCACTCCTGACTTCAAGTCTCGCAGTTCAGATCTCAGATCACCCAATTTAACCGCTTGTTGTCTGTCTGACACATACTATCAATCATGCTCATAGCAGAATCATTGAACCCAATAAAGGATAAGATAGCTAATAATATTCTATGATTGACAGTATCAAAGGTAATACTGCAATCTAGCAGAACTAATCCAGTAAGACTATTTTGATCCGCCGCAAACAATATGTCATCAACTATATGCATTAATGCTGTATCGCAACTGTAGTTAGCATGAAATCCAAACTGTGTCCTAGGCAAAATATCAAGTTTATCGACAAATTCCCGAATTTGATCATTCATAATTTTTTCCAATTCTTTAGACAAAACAGGTAAAATACTAATTGGTCGCAGGTCCGAAAATGTCATAGCATTTTTAATCTTTGGCAAAGGTGTTACCAAAGATTTCTTCAAACATTTTGGAAAGATTGACCTCGATAAGCATATATTAATAATATGTGTGACGTAAGGAATGATGAAAGGACAACAGTAATGTATCATCACAACCGAGAGTTCATCATATCTCACACTGCCAGATTTGATATTTAACAAATGGCCCGCTCCAATATGCTCCGAGACAGGCACAAAAGCAAACAATTCATTAAAGGTAGACCTTTTCGTAGCAATATAAGCCTGAATTAAGTCTGGATCAGCAATCATTAAATTTTCAGGAGCTTGCAAAAAATTATCATGAATGCCTTCAACGTCATTCAAATGTTGTGGAAGTACCTACTCTTTTGATTTGGTAACATTCAGATGGCTTAGTGATTTCCAGAGATTTCTGGAACTTTTATTTTTAAAAGATGATTCATAGTACGCCTTCTGCTCGCTCTTTATTGCGCGTGCAACATGTTTTCTAAAAGATTTATATTCATTAAGTGCTAGTTCAGTGTTAGACTTTTTGTATTTGCTGTAAAGACCATCTCTAAGCCTAATCATGTCTCTAAGCAGGGGAGTAAGCCAAGGGGCAGATTTTTTACTAAGCCTTACCGTCTTTACAGGTGCATGAGCATCGAATAATGCTAAAATTAAATGGTTAAACTACTGTAATTTCACATCAACATCATCAATTCCATACACCAAGATTATCCATAGATTGTGGAGCTAACCTTGATCGTGAAGCCGGATGTTTATGGGGAAACCTTATAGATCTGCTTATTTGTGATGAACTCAATGGAAATTTAACCCGCCAGCGTTACTCCATTTAAGACGAAAATGAGAAGCGGATATTAAATCAGTAAAAGCTCATCTTTAAAAGGACATGGGATTAACAATTATAACATTTTTCATGACTTTTTCATGGTGACAATATCTACAAAGATGGATGTCGTTATGGATGTTAAATTTTACATATCAAACAAGCCTATTTAATTGTTCCACCGGCTCCTCCACCATTTTTTACATTAATAATTTACCTCTATATCCCCATTTTTTTGAGGTTACGACTAATATTTGATGATATAAATCATTAACTACATCCGAACAATTGTCATAGACACTCATCCAACATAACACGTTAAACCAACACAAGAGAAAGCATCGGAAGTCTCCTTCTTTCCATAATTTCGTCTCTCTCGCGATTATGGTATTGAGTGTGGTCGTAAATCTTACTCTAGATAACATCCCTGTCCAGCTTCGCCTATAAATTACGGTCGTCACGTCGTCTTGCCCCGAACGAAGCCTAATATTATTCATACAAGAGAGACGAACGCCGACCCCAACTATACAAAAAACCGAAGCGACTTGTCGAGTGATGCTCGAAATCGCAACTTTAACGTGGGGAAAGTTTCGCTTGGGTTGTTGTTAAGGTCAAAGCTTAAAGAAAAAAAAACTTGGATAATTAATCGTAAAAAAAACTTTTTCTTCTACTTCTTCTTGTCCTTCGGGAGAAGATGGCCTCGTTACTATCGTCTTTGTTTCGAATCGTCTTGTGTTTATCGGCTAGTGCGGTCCATTAAACAGTGAAATAAATGAAGCCTGATGTCGTTTTTCGTTGAAGTTTGGTTCGTTTAACTGAACGAGTTTGTATCTTTATTTAAAGGGTAACGATTCGTTTGTTTTTTTAAGTGAATTTAAAAAAAAACTATTTAAAATTTTAATAGAAAAAGTGTTTATTTTTGCAACACTAATAGAACGAAGCATTGGGTCATAAACAAATTTTAAAAGTGATGTTTTGTTAACAAAACATCATGAAATATAAACGATTTCAATTTCTCGTTATTTTTAATCAAATCGTTTATACATCCATTATAAATAACTGAAATATAAATAAATAACTACATGTTGGAAACAATGTTGTTAGCTTAAAATAACTGACGGGGTAAAATCCATTAGTGTTTTCAATAAATAATAACGTTCTGATTTATTTTATCGATTTATTTGATAAAATTTTTTTTAAACATTTCCTTCGAATAAGTTAGCACCAGTTTATTGCTGGTGTAGCAATTCCAGATGGTAGATTTGCATAAAACTCGGCATTCCGCGAGAGTAATTGGATACCATCCAAACGGAAGGGTTTCGATAAAAAGCGGGGGTGGACCGAATTCGACCGCGCTCACAACGTTGCTAAACGTCAATAGAAGTTACGTTAGAGGGCGAGGTTCGTCGATGCTCCACTGGAACTCCCTTACCTATTAAGGAAATTGCGTCCCTTGCTAGGATAGCAATCGATGGAATGGAATTGAAATTTTTATACCTTTTTAAGTGACACAGTTAGTTCCCGAAGTCTTTTCTCGTCTTCGTTTTCCCCGCATTCCTTTTAACACTTTACGCGATTGCAGTACAATCACCAAACCCCTGCGGCAACCGGGCTCATTTTACATTTCCAATCTTCTCATGTTATTTTACAATCCAACCATCGTGGTATGAATCAATAAATCGCCACATAAATGATGTACGCTTAATTTAAAACGCAAAGTGTCGACCCGCTTTCGAATTAATTTCAAACGCAACGTTTCGTGGAATGGGCTCATTTCGCTGCGTTACGATTGTACGTCGAGTACAAGTGGCATAAATTATATCTATACATTGACCAATTCAACATAAATTATTTCCAATACATTACCATATATGCATGTATGTACATATTGTACTTGTCATTGATCGGTATATACCTAAATATTTTACACAATATCAACGTTGTGCATAACAATAGAAATTCGTATTAAAAATGCAGAGGTAATAAAAACATAAATTTTAATTTAACGTTTAATTTCGAGGAGGGTATCTGTTACATTAATGTTCCGGCAGATCATTATCGTTAGTCGCTTCCCTTGGTCGTAGGGTAAAATAAGTAAATTTTGGGTACACAGCTGCGGTCGCAATCGAGCATATACATCACTAAAAGCGGTCGTCCCCGAGAAGTTTTATACGAAACCACAACGGACCGGGACCCATTATTGTTTGCTTCTCGTTTTATTTTTACGTTTTCTAGGCAATTTGTCGCCGGAACAGGAGTAGACGGGAAAAGTTGCGCGTTTTCCGCCCCGACAATTCGTTGCGGATTGCGCGGACAACCGTTCCCCATTCCATTTTCGGTCTGTCTACGAAACTTTAGATGAAGACCGCTTTGAAAATCGGTTGTTTTTAATGAGAATTGTTTAATGGGATTGTCCAAAAAGAAAAGAAAACTTAAATATATAGTATACTGTTTGTAATAAAGGCTTTTATTGCTAAATTCCCTAGAATATACTATTGTACTATTCGTCAATATAAAATTTACAAGAAGGCGAAAAATATAATAAAATATAATATATAAAATATTACACGTAACATTTACATAAAAACAAATGAAGGGTCTAGGGGAAAAACGTGATAAGTCACAAATGCGTAATTTCATAAGAGAACTATTTTAAAGTTACCAGACTTTTTCTAGGCCGATGGGAAGTAATTCTTCGATTTTGCTATGGTAATTAATATTCGAATTTATTTTTTATTGATTCTGTGAACACGATAATTCTTAAATGTTTGCGTTCTACGCGTAAATAAAGTCAGACTAGGGTAATAAATAGAATTGCAATGCAAGAAAACTTACCGTTTTCCCACACTTATCATCTTTTTACTCTTTACCAAAGAAGAGTTAATGGAAAAAAATTTAATATTTGAGGATAGATCAATGCGGTTGGGCAGTTCTCCAGTAATAAAGAACCGTATCATTTGTAGACCCATCACAGACGAGGGTCTCTTCCATTTTTATAACCTTCTCGAGTCAACTGATTTTAGCTTTGTCAGTGACGCTAATTTACATGT